CCCTTGACCAGCCTCATGCCCAAGCCCTGCCCCCACCTTGTTGACCAGCCCCATGTCCAAGACACGCCCCCCCCCCTTGACCAGCTCCACGCCCAGGAACACCCCTCCCACCTTGTTGACCAGCCCCATGTCGAGCGCCTCCTTGGCATCATACAGCCGCGCCAGGAACCACATCTCCCGCGCCTTCTTCTGCCCCACGATGCGCGCCATGTGGGTGCTGCCGTAGCCCGCGTCGAAGGATCCGACCTTCGGGCCGGACTGGCCGAACACAGCGTTGTCCGCGGCCACCTGCGGGGGGGGTATCCGGGTTTCCGTCAGGTTTTGGAGACGGAAGTGGCGCGTCACTGACTGCGGAGCACCGCCGTATATCCCACTCGTGGGGCCGTCGCTGCCACGGCCAGCCGGCTGCTCCGCTGGGGCGAGCCAGAACGCGCCGCCCCGCTGCGCTTACGTCCGGCGAGCCGGGGGCTGGGCCGGGCACGCTCACGGATCCGCCATGACTCAGTCCATATCACCACACAGCTCGACTGCAGACCCCAGGCCTGCCCTCCCTCGCCGAACCCTCCTGTCCCTTGCCGGCAGCCGGCGCCCCCTCGCACCCAGCCGCTGCCCTCCCTGCCCCCCAACACCCCACCACCGCGCTGCCCTCCAAACCCTCCCCCCACCGCACACACAATCACGTCATAAGTGCGCAACACACGTGTCTCATTTCCCCTCCGAATGACTCACCGTGAGGTCGCAGACCATGTGCAGTATGTGGCCGCCCCCCACGGCGTAACCGGCCACCATGGCAATCACCGGCTTGGGCAGCCGCCGGATCTGCATCTGCAGGTCTAGCACGTTCAGCCGCGCCACGCCGTCGGCGCCCACGTAGCCGCCCTTGCCGCGCACGGACTGGTCGCCGCCGCTGCAGAACGCGAGGTCGCCGGCGCCTTGGGGCGAGCGCGGGGTGCCAGGGCGGGGGCGGCGACGTCAGCAGGGAGGGGGCCTGGGAGGCCGCCTTCGAACGGCCGAAAAGAGGCAATTAGTCGTGTCGGGGCTTCACATTGCTTGAAAAGCGGAAGCTGCGGCGCCGCAGGTGCAGCCTGCGTCCTTACTGCCTCACACGGTGCGCGACGCGGCGATGAGCAGTGCAGACACCGAGTCTGCAAAGGCAGGCTCGGCTGGCGCGGCCGCGCCGGCTCACCCGTCAAGATGACGACGCCGATTGAGGGGTCGTCGCGGGCGTCCGAGAAGCACCAAGACATCTCCATGACTGCCGGGTTTTGAGGTGGTGGATTTCATTGGCGGATTTGATTGCATTGGTGGGCCCGACACAGCCACCCGGCCGATCCTGATGGCACAGCGGGGCACCCAGCGGACGCCTTGCAAGCAGGTCACGGCATGGCACGGCACACGCTGCAGACGAGGCCATGATGAGGCGGATCCGAGGCTCAAACCACGCGCACCCGTGCGAGGCCGGAAGGCGTTGCGCTTCTCCGGCCGGTTGATGGTGATCTGCGGACGGTGCGGCAGGCGTTGACTCGACCGTATCCCAGCCTTCAGGCAACTCATTGCAGGCCGTGAACCAGTACACATATCAGTGTCAATGTCTAAAACAATTAGATTACCCACCTTGGCGATGCCCTCGCCGACTGCTTTGTGGTACTTGACATCCTCTAGCTGCTCCCGCGCGACGCTTGGGATCTCGCGCCACACCGCCGGCGCACGCGATGGCTCCCCGTGGACGCGTGCGTAGGACGAGGGCTGACCTGTCGCAGATGCAAAGGTGCTGCTGCTAGACGCGCTCGTGCTGGCGCGCGCGATCGAAGTGAGCTCCACCTCTGCTGCGGGTGCCAAGTGCCCCGAGAGCACTCTCAAGCGGCGTTCTGATGCACTCATATCACTAGACATCCTTCAATTGTTACAAGGGCCTGTTGGTAGTGGTGAAGGCGCTTGGAGCCTCGCACACCCGCTTGGGCGTGGTGTATGCAGATACGCGTTCGAGTATCAGATCTTGGTGATGTGAGCATTCCTTGGCGGATGTGTCGCAAGCCCATGAGCCCCCAGTGCAACGTTGCATCCCTTGCCCCGCCACCTGCCGCTTGCGCTGCAAGTGCTCTGGCAAAGTAAACGGCACGTGCCGCTGCCGCAGCACTGCAGCTGCAAATGCATCTGCCCGATGACCACCTATGCGCCACTGCAGGCACCCATCGCCACACTCCCCACTGCCTTATATCTGCTGTGTGCCTTATATCTGCACTGTATATCGAGGCAAGGTCGCAGTGACCCCACCACAAGTGGCTGGGCTTAAGATGGAACAATAAGATGGTTTTCCGAGGCATTACACTGCATCCGTGAAGGGCTCAATCGACTCAAGAAAGGAGCTGCAGGCTTTTCACCAGTCAGCTGTACTTGGAGTCTGCGAGAGGCCGTGTGCGCCACGACGCCGCAGTTGTCAGGAGTGCTATCGAGTGGCTATGGAGGACCCCTGTCCTTGCGAGGGGGATAAAAGGGGGCGCAGAGCGCGTCAGTACATGCAAAGCCCTAGAGACGGCGCTTGTGTGGGGCCAAAGGTGAGCTGCACCTGGGCCCTAGACGGGGCAGGGGTAAGAGAAAACATGCTCAGGGTCTCAAAAATTTGAAGAACATCACACCATGTGCGGAGAGCAGGCAGGCATGCAAACGGCCGAGGGCTTATTAGGGGGAGCGCATGAGGGCGAGAGCAGCGCGGCAGCGCTCAAAAGCACGCCCCGCGACAGGCGCGCCATGTGACAGGCGCGCCATGCAACAGGCGCGCACAGGTGCGCTGTCTGTGCAGGGCCGGTCGGCAGCTTCGTCGCAGCTCGCGACGGCCCCAACGGAGGCGCCGCGGGAGAGCCGCAGCTTCCTATCATAAAAAGAAATGTGCAAAATGGAATCCAATCAAGTACAGACGCGTCATGCACCACCCGACATCGACAACTCAGGCCCCGCCGACACTGCAGGCGCCGCCGCCGGCGCTGCGGCCATCAGCGCCCGCAGACCGGCCTGCACGCACGGCATCGACGGCACCCACGGCGCGCACGCAAGCATGTACGCCGCAAACTGCTCTGGCCTCGCGACGTTGCAGAAGACGACCAGCCACGCCGTCAGGTAGTTGCAGACCCCCTCCTGCAGATTGGCGTTCAGCTCGCCGACGATCTCCGCCAGCCGCGCGGGCGCGCCGCGCGCGGCGGCGGCGTCAGCCCTGAGGCGCGAGCGGTCCGCGTGGATGAGGGCCAGGCGTCCCTCCCACGTGTCGAGGGCTGCCAGAGCAAGCTCGATCTTATGCGGTCAAAGGAACCACGGGAGGCAGGGGGCGGCGGCCTTGTTCCCGGTTCGTCGAGCACAGCAGGGGGCTGCTGCTGGCTTATGGCCAGGGCGCGCAAGAGCAAAGAAGGGTGAGAAGATCCCCGCAGCGCCGCCGCCCGGGCTTGGCCGCACGGGGCCCCGGGCGGGAAACAAGCGGGCGGCGCCTGTTGGGGGCGCGTACGGGGCGCCCCTATGCTCATGTGCATCATTGCAACCCCACCCCTCCCACTAGCAGGCGCGCCTGTGCAGGCTCAAACTCGAGCTGGGCGATTGCCCACTGCCAGTGCAGGTCCGTCGGCGCCGGCGGCACCTGCCCGGCGGCGCCGGGGCCGCAGCCGGGCAGCGGCGCAAGCAGTAGCAGGGGCAGGGCTGTACCGTCCTGCAGGGCCGACACCACCATCAGGGCCGCGACCTCGGACCGCAGAACCGCCAGCCGCTCGGCGGCCGCGGCGGCATCTGGCGCCCGCAGCCGCACGCGCCTGGTGGGGAGGGGTATCGCGGGGGCTGCTCGTTTGTTTCCGAGCAGCGGGCGAGGGGGGCCGGAGGGGCGGCAGGGCAAGGCGAGGGCCTCGGGCGGCGCGGTAGGCTGCGGTGGCGTTGACGGATAAGAAGCACCAAGCACCCGCCTGGCAGCGCTGCCGGGCGTGAGCGCTGTCGAAGCGCTGCCGCGCACGCGAGCGTGCGCGTGCGCGCGCGCACGGCCCTGGGGGTGTCACTCACGGCAAGGCGGGGCCGCTCTCAAGAATGAACGCGGCCATCTTCTCTGCGAGGTCCCCGCAGAGCCGGTTGGCGGGCGCGGCCGCCTCCGTGGCCGACGTGGGCGACCAATTGAGTTGGGGCTACTGCGTGTCGGGGGGCGCCTGCTGCACCTGCCCCTGCCCCTGCGCATGCGTATGCGCCTGCTGCTGCTGCTGCTGCTGCTGCTGCTGCTGCTGCTGCTGCTGCTGTTGCTGCTGCTGCTGTTGCTGTTGCTGTTGCTGCGGCTGATGCCCCTGCTGCGGCTCTGGCTCCAACCCAAACGAGCTGCTGCAGTCTGATGGGATGTCACCCCTATCAGTACTCTCTTCGCGTGGGCCAACCAACAGCATCCCCAGGCCTGACGGCTCCGCGCCTGCGCGAGCGCCAGCGCCGGTGCCCGCCCCCGCGCCTCCCCGGGCGCCACCCAGCAGATCTACGACCTCCAGCAGGGCTTCATGCTGCCTGCGAGTCAGCTGGGCCGCGAGTGCGCGCACTTCTGGGCAACGCCCCTCTGCCAAGACCACGGGGGCGGCGGGTGAAGGTGCGCGCTGCATGGTGCTCTCTAGCTGGTGGTGTTTTTCTATGAGCTGGACAGTACCAGCCGGTCGATGCTGCAAGAAGAGTTTGGCATGAAATTTGTGAGTCTGAACAGGCTCTGGTTGGTGGGCAAGGAACTTCCTTGCTACACCTCTTGAAGAGGTGTAGTACAAGCGGCCTGGGTCTACCCTGTCAGCAAGGCAGCATGTGATATTGCTGCGCTGAATAGGAGGGTTTGCGCCAGCGCTCCCCAAAAACTTGTGGCCACGGGGCCCAGCTGACGGACGGCAACGCATCCAGTCAGCCTTGCACACAGCCCGCAGGCACGCCTGTAAGAGGCTGTGACACGCGCATGCCGCACGCCGCCTCCCCACTTGGAAATGCAGCCACGGTGCTGTGCATCTAACAAGCAAGGGCGTGGGGCCTAAGCAGCAACTTTGCTGTTGGTTGATCAGTGTCACTGTCTGCTGGCTGCAGCCCAATTGCGCCAATTGCTGTCATCCGTCACTTCGGCATCTTAGTCACCTCTCAGCCACCGCTCTCATCTGTTGCTGGCGCACAGCGCACCGCCCAGCATGTTGGTCATCAAGAAGCACGACGCCAAAAGCGGGAGCGATCGCCATGTGAGCCGCATGGCGGGCCTCCCATCGGAGCGGGGCAGCAGGGAGTGGAAGGAGACCATGATCAAATCTTCTGGGAACAGCGTGCATGGCACAACAGCTATGGCGTCGGCAAGAACACACATGATCAAGTGCTGCGATAATCAAACCACAGCCAAGACCTTTACAACGTGCTGCCTCCAACTCTTGCTCTGGGTCGCACCTCGGTCCGCCACGTGCGTTACCGTACAACGAAAGCAGCACTGCTGGCAGCCGCCCCCCAGGTGCGTGGATCCCGCCCCCGACGCTGAGTTCTAAGCTTTTGGCATGTGATTTCTGATGACTCAAGCAGATTTCAAGGGCGCCGCAGCATGAAAGGTCGTCGAAAATGGATGCCAGCCTTTCCGTCCGCGCTTCTACGCTTCAAAGCAATTGGCACCAAACGATTATTGCCGATGCAGATTAATCATCGTACGTAGGCATGTGACCGTGGTGTGTAGGAGTTTGGCAGGCTTATCAATCGTGCGGGTGTCAGAAAACCAGCTCGCTGACAGTGCCCATTGGCTTGGAGCCTCGTCTTCAGCTGCATGTCAGTGATGTCATTTTAGCAACTTGCGGAATCTCGCGCCAGGAGTAGGGTCTGAGCCCCTCACATGTGTGAGTGATGATGTTAGTAAGTGAGAACTCATCAGTCTTCAATCATTATGCATCAGCTACTGTGCTCACCCTGGTTAGCAAGCCTTGCCCACACCTCCTGGCCGCAAGGATGGGGGCATTGCGCGGACCAGCGAACGCACGTAGCCCCTTTTCATGCGCTACACACAGGGTTGCCAAAGTTGCACTGCAGGTCGCCGAAGTGCTGCGTATGGCTGGGGCAGGGACGCAACAGGCCAGGGCTGATCCACTGCGGACCTTTGAATTGGACCAGCGTAGGGCTGGCCAGGCATCAGGAAGGACGACGCGCACTTGATGCGACTGCCTGCCACCATGCACCCTACTCGTCACTACGTGTGTTCTTTGGCGAGTGCCAATGTGAGCATGGGCACCAGATGCCGCCGTGCCTCGCGTTTGTGCGGCGTGTGGCCAGCCCACCGTTTTTGGTGTTACCATGGATCCACAGCTTGATTTGCCCAGCAAGTCAAAGGGGCCGTTGTTGCATGAACAGGAAGCAAAGGGAAGTGTTTTGAGCGCAGAATCAAAGACCGCTGCGACGCAATGCCCTTGAAAGCCTGCACCGTCGCAACGCGTGCTGTGCTTGTGCAGCGCAAGCACGTGTGTGTGCGCATCGATGCAGCCGGGTGGAGGGCACGTGAGGGTGTAATTGGCATTGATCACCACTGCAAAACTCAGGCGCAATGTGATGCCCCACAAAAGAAGCGTTGCAAGGCGTCGGAATCATTGGCATGCACGCCCAGTGAGGCGGCACGCCCTTCCCCCCGCGTCCCCCACCAGCCCCTCAGCTGCCCGCCGGCGTGCGTCCCACAATCGTCGCACATCGCACAAACGGCGCGTGATAGGAACGGCGCAGAAAGACGGTGCCATGCCTCCTGGGCGTCTGCCGGGCGGCGCCCCGAGGCGCATTGCAGCCAGCCCGTTGCCCCCACCAACAAAATTGCACTTCCTCCCAGACGCATACTGTAGCCTTTATGGGCAATCGTGGTAGACAGGTCCGGTCAACAAGATCAAGCCCCACAAACAAGAGGCCGTCAGATGTGCGACCCCTGCTGCTGCCTGAGCGCCTCTATCACAATCGCGCTCGCGCCGCCGCCGCCGTTGCAAATCGCCGCGCAGCCGACGCGCGCGCCGTGGGCACGCAGCACGCTGATGAGGCGGGATATGATGACCGCGCCGGTGGCGCCCAGCGGGTGGCCCAGCGCGACGGCGCCGCCGTGGGCGTTTACCCTGGGGTTGAGCATCAGGGTGAGGTGGCGGCGTTGGGGGGTGGGGGGTGCTGTGAGGTTACGCGCTCTCTCGGGGCATGCACACCTGGTCCAAGGCGCCGCTCTCGGTCGCGGTGCTCCAACGACGCCTGCAGAGCGGTAGGGATCAGCCGCACGTGCGCAGCGCACACCCTGGATGCAGCCGCACACGCGCTTCCTCTCGCGCTTTGCAGTGGTTGGTGCTCACAATGTCATTGAGTCGGCTGCAATCAAACCACCCCACCTGGCAGGATCAAGGCCCAGGATCTTCTGGTTGACCAGGTCAACCACTGAGAAGGCCTATGTAGGGGTGGACATGCAGACGGAAGTGATTGGTTTGATGGGTTTGACGGTCACCAGGAGCAGTACTTGTGCAAGTGAGCGGCGCACAACAGCAACGGACGGGCATCGCGTACACGCCGCCCTGCGTCACCCCCACCATCCGTCAGGCGGGCCCACAAACACACGACTGTGGGTCATGCAGGCCTCGGACTTCGGCGCCGCACGCCAAGTCTTCCTCTTCCAGCCCTCCAGCTGCCCTCCAGCTGCCCTCCAGCTGCTCTCCAGCTGCCCTCCAGCTGCCCTCCAGCTGCCCTCCAGCCAGTGGACATTATGGTGAACAAATCTCAACATCAGGGGACTATAGTCACCCCCCTGCGGGCACGGCCGCTCCCCAGCGGCCTCAAATGGACAAGAAGGACAGGGCCCAAGCAACCCACCTGGTTGACCTCCCAATAATCCACCTGCTCCTGCCGCAGCCCTGCGCGCGCCAGCGCCTGCGCGGAGGTATGATTTGAGCCGCGCCGCGCCGCGCCGCGCTCGGCGGCCGCGCAATTCTGCTGCTTCGCCGGCGACCGGGGCCGCGCGGGAGCTCGGGCAGCGGATGGGGACACACAGGGGGCGCAGGCCTGGTATGGCAGCAGCTGTGGCTGCAGCTGCGAATTGCAGGGCTGCCAGATGCTGAGGAAGGGCCGAGAGCCTTGCGGCACACCATCAACCCCTGCGGCATGCATACCCTGTTCACCTTGGGTATCGCCGCGGCGGGCGCCGTCGTGAACCACTCGGGCTGCTGGTTGGCATCACCGTAGCCGCGCACCACTGCAAGCGCCGGCAGCCCGTCGCGGCGCGCGTGCTCGGCGCTGGCGATGACGAGCGCGCAGGCGCCGTCCGACAGCGGCGACGAGTTGCCTGCCGTGATGGAGCCGCCGTCCTGTGGGTTTTCAGCCGAACGCAACCAAAAGGGAACGCGCGGCGCGGCGGGTGCGGATGCTTGTGAGGCGAGACAGGGCGCATGGTACAGCAAAATGAGGCTTTGCTGGAGGTCCCGGTCCTGAGACTGCGTGTGGGGCAGCAGCAGCCGCCGCCGCCGCGCCTGCGCCAACCTACGCGGCCGCGGCTGCGCTGCCGTCGCCCCACGGGACGGCGCCAGGCGCTGCCCGAGACTGCACAGTATTGGCCGCTCCCGCGGACAAGTGGCAGGTCCGCACCCTGCACAGAGGTGTCGACGCACGCACCGGATCAAGGCACCACCGTCTCTTTCCAACACTTACATTTGAGCTGTCATGGGCGCGCACACACACGGTAAACTCATCGCATTACTAAGCATCAAGGCGGGCAGGGAGGTCTGTCCCCCTCCATGACTCCCACCTGTTTGAAAAACGGCCGCAGCCCTCTGAGCTTCTCCACATCGATCTTAGTCAGTGCCTCGTCGCGCGTCACCACCACTGCAGAAGCCAAGTGGTTGGGGGTTGAGGCGTGGGGCGAAGGGGGCAGGCCAGGTGGACGCATTCGCACTGTTGGGCGTGAAAGGTGTGTCGGTGGAGCCGCTGCCTGTGGGGGCGCTTCTGTCACTCACACGTTCTTACAACCCAGGCCACTCTGCCGGCAGGGGTAGCGGGCGGGTCGCACCCAGCGGGGCGGGCCAGCATCAGCTGATGCCGAGCCAAGCATCAGCGCGCCACCTCAGCGTGATTCCAAAGCAGCCGCCACGACCAGGCTGAGCCCTGCTCCAACCCCCCCCCCCTGTGCCCACTGCGACAGCCTCAATGCGCGCGCTTCCAAAAACATTGATAATACCGCGCGCACCTGGCGCGCCGCCGCGCCGCCCAGAGGGGACCTCAACGGGCACCACCTCGGCATCAGTGTGGCCGGCCAGCGCCGCGGCCCTGGCGCGCTCAAAGGCCGAGATGGCGTGGCGGTCCATGTCCTCGCGGCTGGGGTCCAGGGCGGGGTCGGCGTGCGGCGGTTGTGCGGTTGGTTGTTGGTTGTTGGTTGTTGGTTGGGTGGGTGATGTCGTGCGCTGCAAACGTGGACGGGGAGGTGGTGTGGTTGCGCGTTGTTGTGGTGCGTATCGCAGCGTTTGTGCGGGGTCACGCTGCCTGGTTGACGACCCAGGGACTGTCGGCCGACGACGGCGCGGCGCGGCCCGCGCAGGGGGCGGGCGCCCGGCCGGGCGCGCGGGCGCGGCGGCTCGGGGCCGGCAGGGAGGGCCCGCTGGCTGCGGCGCGAGGGGGGGATGGGGGTGGGCGAGCGCTCACGTGATCTGGAACCGCTCGGCGCACAGCTCTGCGCAGGCGCCCATGTGGGCGTCGGTGCCTGGGTCCCACAGGCCTGCATGGGGTTTAGGAGGGGGGATGATCCTCATGGGATTCAGATACGTATGTGTGTGTGTGGGGGGGGGGGGTCGAGGATCCATGGGGTTAACAAACGTCTGTTTGTGTGCGTGAGTGCGTGCGGGGAGAAGTGGTTCCACAAGGAGAGGGATTTTTGTGGTGCTCGTTGCGGGCTTGTACCCAGCTGCACAGGAAATGCTTTGACACAACTCCTAATGGTTGCCCGGCATTAGAGCCCGCCCGTGAGCAGGGGCCAATGCTCGGCCCCGCCCAACCTGCTGGAGACTTTGACCCAATGCCTCAAGCCGGTGCTGGCCAGTCTGAACCCCTGCCAATTCGGCTGGGACCCCTCGTCAGCAGGTATTAGCCTTGCTGCCCCCCCCCACATACACCATCACCAGTGAACATGCGCGCACACACAAGCGTTCAACAGCAATGCCTGCACACGCACAATGATATGCACACTGATGCACACACACTCCAGCCTCATACAAAACCATACGCGCTCACATGTGCACACAAGCGTCCAGACACCCTCGCTCAACCGTCCGCAAGGTCCACCACCCCCTACCGTCCTTGACGAGTCCGTCCACCGCCTGCACGTGCCCCAGCCGCGCGCCGCCCCTCAGCGCCGGCATGTAGTACGGCACGCCGCTCATCGACTCCATCCCGCCCGCAACAATCAGGTCCGCGTCGCCTGCGGTTGGTCGGATCAGAGGGCGCTGCAGGGGTCTAGACTGCTGGGGTTTGCACACATCTGGACCGCCGGGGTTTGCCATGCGCCATGCAAGGTGCACTGCGATCTTGATGTCAACAGGGCCTGCTTCATTTTTTCAAGGGGGGACCTGAGGGTGTGTGATGTTTGTTGGATGGTTCCAGCAGGTCGCTGTGTGTGCTGTAAAGGCCTCCCGGCACCTGGGGCCCGCGCGAGTCCGGAGACAGGGAGGCAGGAGAGCAGCTGCCTCACAGCATGCGGGTCTTGCCGGGCTACAGCCGCCCTCGCGGCGCCGCCCACCTGCCAGGATGCTCTGCGCCGCGAAAATCGCCGCCTTCATGCCGCTGGCGCACACCTGGTGAGAGGTTTGTGGGTTGGGTGTCGTGTGTGGTGGGGTTACTTCCACCAAAAGCCCATAGCACGGAACGCAAACGGCTCCTGTGAGCAGAGCGCTTTGGAGGAGGCATGACAATGAGCTGGCACGAATGGTGCAGGGGGTGGACTGGTCACAGCGGTCGCTGACAAAAGAGTATTACACTGCGGCAGCCGGCGCCAGCTGCCGCTTGGCGCCGCGGGTGCCGCGCGCCGCATGCCGCGGGCGGGGCGGGGCGGACCTTGTTAATGGTGGTGGCCGGCACGGAGTGCGGCAGGCCGCCCTCCGCGGCGGCCTGGGACGCGGGCGCCTGCCCCAGGTTTGCGGAGCACACGTTGCCAAACAGCACCTCCTGGACGTCCTCCGGCCGCACCCCCGCGCGCGCCACGGCGGCTGGAATCCGGCGCGAGGCCACAAGGGAGTCGGGGGGAGGGAAGGCGGCATATACTTGCTTGCTGAGTGTGAGGTGGTGGCGCCAAGGGGATGTTCGGGGCGTTCTGGTCTCCTGATTTTCCAGGTAGGCTTGCATGCGGCCGCCAGCCGCTGACTAAGCAGGTTCGCTCGTGGCACCCCTGACAAAGTTGCCCACGAAGGGCCGGGTCGGGGCCGACCGCCCAGCGACGGCGCTCGCTCAAGGAGCCCGCGTCTGCGTCGGCTGCGCGTGCGCTGAGGGCAGGGGTGCGCGGCCGGGGTGCTGACGGGGCGGCGGCCGACGCACCGCGGATGGCGACGCCTCCCAGCTGTGTGGCCGTCAGCGCCGACAGCGAGCCCTGGAACGCCCCCAGCGGCGTCCTCGCCGCCGAGACAATTACGGCATCTGCGATGTGGCAGTCATCATCATCCACGGTTACATGGCGTCCCACGACGCCGACCCGTGGACCGGGTGGTCGGATGTGATACGAGGCGTGCGGCCAGGCGTAACCGACAGCGCGGCGGCAAGGGCGCCGACCTCGCATGCTGCGTCGCGCCCGTGCCAGGGTCAGGCTGTAGGTGCTCACCGCGCGGGTTGAGGCTTGCAAGGTCCGCTGTGGCCATGCCCCGCGCTGATGCAGCGAACACAGCTGCGCCGCGAGCCCCGCGCTGCAAGAGCGGGTTTACGCCAGCAGCGGGTGCCGCTGCGGCAGCGCCCGCAGTCAGGCCTAGCGAAGCACGGAGAGAGCGCCCTATTCCAAGCGCCACGAGCTTTACCGCGAGCGCCACCTTGACAGCTGAATCAGCACAACGCAACAGGTTCGAGAGATCGCTTTCAGGTTAGGAAACTCCGTATTGTGTAAGTGATGTCCGCACAATGTCGTTGTGATGGGGCCTTGAGGCCTCGCTTGTGCGACATGGAGGTTGACACCTGGTCACCCTGTCGGCGAGGCGGGCGAGTGCACCTGGCCCATGCTACTAGGCGGGTGCAGCTCTGCGCAGCTCTCGGGATGACTAGTTATTCTCCACTTCGGTTTTGATGCCTGCCTGACCTGCTGCCGCGCTGGTTTCTCTCAGCCCAGAGATGGGCTGATCAGCATGAAACTGCGACTTGTGGCAGCTCATTCTGGACGTGCAAAGCAACCGGCTGGTGTGCATGCAGCATATCGTTGCAAGCCGATTGCAGGTCGTCATTGAGTACAAAATGCCAAAGCTGCTGCGCTTCGTTTGTACACATACACAGGATGGGCAGGGTGGCTGGTGAGCTCACATTGATGTGGCATCAGTCACCATCAAGGCGTTTCAATCGTGCAAAACATCGCGTGTCGCGTCCATCCCGTCGATCCACTCCACTATATTTCGCCGCCCAAAACGCACCGCCACGTCGCGGCACAGCTTCCGGTCGAACGGGCAACCCGTGCCGACCATGTACTGCAACATCTCCAGGTGGCCCAGGCCCGCCACGCACCATGCCATCTCGCAGACAAGCTCTAGCAGGCCCGCGTCCCGGCAGCGCCTCACCAGGTCGGCCGAGCCGTGCTGCAGGATTAACCAAGGCGCGGCCGTGTCCCACTCGCACCCGGCCTCGCGCATGACGAAATCTAGGACGTCCGCATATGCCCCGCTCTGGCTGCGACCCTGCACATGCTGCTGCCCATGGGGCAGCCGGCCGCATGCAGCCAGCGCAGCACGGCCAGGCGCCCCTTGTGCGCGGCTGCCTGCGCGGCGCGCTCGGTCAGCGGGCAGCCAGCCTGCTCGTGGGCAAAGCGTAGCACATCTAGGTGCCCTTGCTCCGCCGCCAGCTGGCACACGTCTGCATCAAAAGGGCAGCCGGCATCATGCAGCCATGTCACCGTTGCCAGGTCACCATGGAAAACCGCACGCCGCATCGCGCCCGCCCGCTGGGCATCGTCCAGCAGCGGCCACGCCTCGGCTACGAGCCACAGGGGCAGCGCGAAGCGTCCAAGCTCGCTGGGCTCTGGGGCCGCCGCGCCGGGTAGGCGCAGCTCGGCGCGTGGGGCGGCAGCAGACGGGCCGTCGGCAGTCCAGGCGCGCCAGCGGCGGCCGAGGCGGCCGACAGTGACGATCTGTTCGATTGCCGGCAATCTCCGGAAGATCAAGTCCAGCAAGCCCTCGTAGGCCTGCAGATCCGCACAGGATGACGCAGCGCTGCCGGCGTGGCTGCTGCTGCGGCCACTGGTGTGTGGCAGATGCTCTTCAGGCGGTGGAGGTGGCTCTGCCCACGCCTGCTCATGCTGCTGTTGCTGCTGCTGCTGAGGTCGCTCGGCACTGTTCATTGACGTCATCGAAGGGCTTGTCCAGCATGCATAAGGGTGTCTGAGGGAGGCGCGATTTGAACTGCGTCGACGCCCGCCGCTAGCCGAGTCAGTGTGCACGCAAACCGGCAGCCGCATACGTGCATACGAGTAGCCTCACCTGCTTTGCCTCTCCTGTCTCTTTGAGTGTCGAGTGCTCGAGCCTGGCTTCAAAGCAAAACCACGCGACGAAGACGCTTTATCAAGATATGTATAAACTTCATAGAACGGTTGCAAATGTGCCACCGGCATCAGAATAATTTGCAATTCACCGCAGCTGACCTGGACAGATCTGGCTGTCACAACCGATCCTCCGCTGGGTGTTGAAACAGCTCATCATGAGTGTCGAGACAACAGCATTTGCTACCACACGGTCCCTGATCGCCCTGCTGCTGGCCGTTCAAATCGCCCTCGCGGCCCCGCCCAGAGGTGCCGCCCGCCCCTGCGTCGCTGGGCCCCGGCCCCAAGTGTATGGCTTCTCGGTCTCCGCCGACGACGCCGCTTTCGGCGCCTACGATTGGTCGCTGCTCACCGGCGTCGGGTGGCAGCGCGACCCCGCACGGATCCGCTTGGCGCACTCCAAGGGGTCGCGCGTTGAACTGCAGGCGCAGGCGGGCGTGGCCGGCATCATATCAGATCCTCTAAAGCGGCAGCGATGGGTGAGAGAGGCCAGGGACCGCGGCAAAGTGCTTCAACATATCGCGCCATGCACGCACTTGACAAAAAGGCAGCCACGCGCCTTCCAAATCCTCGGTGTTGCCACATTAAACCTGCTGTAAAGCAACAGTAGCCTCGCCGCCTCCTTCCTCGACAGATCCGAGAACAGCTTGATCTGGCATTCAAAATCGGTGCAGATGGCATCAACTTCGATATGGAGGAGCCTGTCCAGGTGGACGGTTTTGTGCCGCAGCAGGGCGTCGTGCGGCCGCCTGCCACCCCTCGACTCTTGTGGGAGAGAGCGCAAGCCATCGGCGTGGGCATGCCGTGCCTCTCCCTCCTGAACAACAGCGCTCGGCCTGTAGTTTTTGCAGCTCCCCTTTTGGGCCGGGCCGTCAAGCTGATTTGCAACCTGCTCATCTGCCCGCACTGCTCTTGCGTAGACCCCTTCGTGTCCACTCACCAAGACCTCCCTGCGTGCCCGAC